TATCAGGTGAAGCAACAGGCTATGCTCCACAATTGGGCAGGGTAACTGGCTGGGTTCCCTGCTTGGGTGAGGCTGCAGGCCTGGACAAGGCTAGATGTTCAGCAATCAGGCAGGGTCATAGATTGTACTCTGCTGTTGGGTGGGGTTATAGTCTGGACTCCGTGGCTCAGTGTTACTGTAGATTGGGCTCTGAGACTATCCAGGGTCACTCTTCAAGCTCCTTGGTTATGCGGAGCCAAACAGTATGCTTAACAGTTGGGCAAGGCTGCTTGCTTGGCTCTCTGACCAAGCAGGGCTATAGCATGGGCTCCACAGTGGCCTGGGCTCTCAGGCTAGGCTACTTGGACAGGTAAGACTAGAGGCTATGCTCAGCAGTTACACAGGGATGCAAATCTGCTTTCCAGCCCAGGCAGGACAGCACGACAAGCTCCATGGCTGGCACAGCCCATTGACCAGGCACCCAAATCAGGCAGAACTGTCCACCGAACTCTCTAGCCAGATGGGGCCACCAGTTTGGCTCCAAAGATGGGCAGAGCCACTGGCTGGGATCTCTGCTTGGGCACTGCTACAAGCAGAAATGCAGTCTGCCAAGATCTAAGTGCTGTTGCTGTAAGCCCCACCTTAACTTCTCCACCTCTATCTGATCTCCAGTGGTTGAGCCCCACAGATTCCCCCAGTTATCTCTATGCAGTGTGGCCCAAATGGTCCTCCTGGGAAGCGTCCCACAATGCTGGGGGAGCTAGACGTCCACCTAGGGCTCTCTTTTTCCAGTGGAGAAACTATAGGCCCAGGGGGCCCTCTCGGTGCAGTGCTGTGCCAGTCTGGGGAGGGTCAATGTGGTCAGAATGTAGCTGATCCTCTCACCCTTCTAATGTGGTACTTCTTAGTCTGCCATCTCGATTGGCAAACTTTTCTGGACTAGTTTCTATCCTCTTTGTTTTTGCCATGAACTCTTTAACACCAGCTTACAGATCCCTTCTCAGAATAAAGTAAAATACATAAAATTACAAAAGAAACCAATTATATTGAAATAGTTATCAAGATATTTAAGAAAATAAATTGTGATATAATAATAGATGTGCTTCTTGATTAAAGCATTAAAAAATAAGATCTAGTGGCAGCTTTAATAACTAGTGTAATTTTGAAGTAGTAATGACTGTAAACAATATTTCAAGATATCTGCCACAAATTTAATGTGATAGGAAAACATTTATTATTTCTATTAGTGACAAAGTTAGAGGTACTACTAATACTACTTTGGTCTGTTGCCTATATTGTTAATCAGATGAAATACTAAATATTAGTTAGCAGGTAAAGAAAATAAAGAGGCCGTATTTTTCACATCTAAGTTCAGGAGCCCCTGAATTCTCTCCATGGGTCTCCCAGGGGCCTTTGGACCCCTGGTTAAAAACCCCTGCTTTATACATATCCTTGTAATTATTCTGCAGCAATTTTATACTGCCTTCTATGTTAATCATCTTCTTTCTGCTTAGGCTTTGTGAATATGACCATAATCTCCCTACCAACATGAATTTCCTCAGCATTTAAGAATCATGTGCATGCACTGATGTTCTAAAATAGAATATACTGTTATTTTTCCTTCAACACTTGAATGACTTTTTTAAAACTGCTAATTTCTTTTTTGTTTGGTCAATGTTCTATATGTAAATGTGCCTACAAATATTTCATTTTTACCACTGATGTCCTAAAAACACTGGTCTTAGAGTTTTCTCTCAATAGATCAAATTAAATTACACTAAAGCAGATTTTCAAAGCTGAAATAATAACTCCAAGAATCACCTAAATTTAGTACACATTATTTGGAACTAACTCATAATTGCATATATTAGAAGCTCCTCAACAACCTCAGGATATGGTGTACTTTTTAAGTGTTTCTATGTGTTCCTGTAAGTATTTTAGGACTTTTCAACTTCTTCCATATAGTGAATTTGGCTTCTAGCTTCAATTTAGATATTTTGAAATAAAGGAGACATTAATATTTTTAACCTTAATTAACCTTAATTTAATAACCTTAAATTCTGGGCTCTCTTTTGCTGATTAAATTAACATTTGGGGGTTTGTTTTTGTTTTGTTTTGTTAGTAAAGGATTATCCTGCCAAATAACTAAAATCTATTAGTTGTCTGGCAGGAAAGAACTTATTGACCCATACTGGTGTTAATTCAAGTCTCTGGGAAGCAATGCGCCCTTAATTGTTTTTTGTTGTTTTTGTTGTTATGAGGAGACAACCATGCCACGTGAGCAACAAACTATGATTATGCATGGATGGAGTTTAGCACTGTAATCAAATAGAACTTACAACAAAGTTAATCTGATGATACATATTTAATGCTATGCATTATCAATGTGCTACATGGTAATTAGTCATAAATGGTAAACAGCTCCTTTGAATGGCAAATTGATGTTACTTTTGCATCACTGAAGCAAACCCTTTCTAGGATGGGAGGGAGAAAGGCAGTGGTGATCTAGTGTTTTCTCTGGCCTGAGAGAAGCAGTCTCCTTTGGGTACTTGAAAATCAAATGACTGTTTCTACCCAGGACCTTCCTCCTTACTAGAAAATACTCAGACATTGGATTTGTCTGCATAAACGCAATATTAACTTTCATAACTCAGATGAGTTATTCACAATTTGTGCCTTGTACCCAAGCAGCACAATTCCAATCATGCATACTATTAAATTACATGTTAAATTGTTTTCTCCTACAAGCAGAAGTAAGAAAATGAGTTTTGATTGAGCAGGGTAAGGAATGGAAGAAATTTTAGAGTATCTGGCATCGAGGAGGAAGGCAAGCCAGCTTGGAAAAAAGTCTTCAGTGGCCTGCTTTAAACAAAAGGAAAGCACAAAATTGTTGGGGCAAAGGATGCAAGTGATAAAACACACAGAGATGTGAAAAAGAGAAAGATACAGGCTTAGAAAAGGGAATGGATGTCCAGAAAAGAGGAAGAGATGAGACAGAAAAAGGTTAACCCATCCGCCAGCAAACAGGATATGCACGGAAGCAATGGGTATAACACTCGCAGAAGGAACCTGGCAGGATCTACACTTTGTGGTTCTCCTTCACTCACCTTCCGAGATTTAGCATAATAATGTGATTTCACAAGCAGTCCTTTTGACTGCATAGTGGATAAGATTAAACCAGCTGAATTCAATAATTTAGACATAATTTACTGCCTTCTCTAAATTGAAAGCAATTCCTTCCTCCCAACTGGACCAGGCAATTTAAAGAGAGAAACAAATATGTATCGTTTATGCTACAAAATCAAGTGAAACAGAAAAAAAAAAAAATCCCACGTAATACATTTCTATACATACGTTTTTAAAGCTTGTTGCATATTAGAGGGCCATTCATAAGTGAGACTCCTTCTGTTTCTTACATTCCCTAAAGAGCTGAAAACATGACTTAAAAAATAATAAATGTTTTTAATGTTACTGGTAAATAAATATCACAGTAGCATTCTGCATATTTACATTTTTATTTACTAAGGCATGTGAAGGAAAAGCTACAGTTTCAATGGGCAAAATAAATGCCTACATTGATTAATTCTTCAAAATATGGTTTTCTTTTACTAAAATTTGCTTATACAGAAAAGACTAAAAAGCTTCAACTACTGAATAGGAGTCAGATGTTTGTTTGCCTTTTTGTACTTTAAAATGAAACTGTCCAACTGGATAAAAAGAGGGAGAACTAAAGTCACATTTAGGCTTCTTAACTTGCTCATTCTGGCTACTGTGCAAAGAATCACGGGACTAAGGCGGGCAGGACAAATGTGATCAGCTCTCCATTTCAACTCAGAGAACTCTGGACCTGGTTAGCTGGACAAAGGAAACACATTTTTCAAAAAACTTTTCGACAAGGGAATTTCTTAGCACAGTGTAACTTTTGTTGAGGTTAATAAAGTTGTGTCATGATAATAAAGAGCCTACATAAACTCATTAACTCTTAGTCCTACAGGGTAAACTGTAATGCAAGCCTACACTACACAATGGAGAAACTTCTATATAGACACAGTGTGCTCAAATGGCAGACACTGGTGCTCTGAGATTTAGAGACAGTCTAAGGGAGGTATAACAAAATTGTTACAGCATAAACTACTCAATCTTCTTAAAATCAAAACAAGCCACGTGGCTCAAAAACAAACAACAAAAAACCTGCAATGACTATGCCCATCCATGAAATATCTTGCAGTTCTTCCTTCCAAAAATTAAACCAGACACGGTCAAACATATGAAGAATTCTAAGAATTCGATCTAATAGAGTGCTTTATTCTACCAAGCAGTTTATTTGGTGTAATCCTCACAGTGACCTAGTAATGTCAGATGAGAAGAGAGGGCTTAAGCAAAGTGACATAGTTTGCCCATAGGAGGCAGAATAATAGAATAAGAAGAGCAATGGCTTTGGAGTCTTGATAGGCTTTGTTCTGTGTCTCAGCTCTACTACTCTGACACTTACCAGCTAGGTGACAGTGGGCAATCTCTCTAAGCCTCAGTTTACTGATGTGTAAATGAGGATAATAGTACTTATCTCATAGGACTGTTGCAGGATTCAATGAGATAAAATATATAAAGAGCACAATCCCCAGCACGTTAAGTGCTTAACAAGGGATAACTTTATCATTCACCCATTGATCCTGAGGAAGCTATTTTAACCTCTTGGCCTGTACACTTTTACATCCATACAATGCTAATAACAATATCTACTTAAAAGTGTCATTGTGATGATGAAATACATGCAATTTTATGTACAGAGGATGATGCGTGTACATGTGCACAGAATTAAATTTAAAAGGACACATATCTAATAAATGGCAGACACATACCTAGAACCTAGACCGTCTGAGTCCTCTTACTGTCCACACAGCTAGATATTCCTAATTCTATTATCCAAACATAGAAGAAAATTTTCACACAACTCCACTGAAAGGACAGCAATCTAGAAATATCTGTGAAAATGAAATTTAAAAGCAAAATATGCAAGTTACCTGAATTAAGGCCTCACTCAACATGTCTTCATTAACCTCCAGAATGATGTTTTTTATATCTTCATATGGCATACGATATGATCCTAGGAAGATAGCTAAAATAAAAATTGATTTTATTAAAAAGAGAGCAGCATCACAATTTTAAAGTCCTAATAAATACCTGATTCCCATTTCATAGACTCAAAATATGAAATTCCTGTCACTAATATTACTCTACAGAATTGAGCAAACAAAAGTAGCTTCCATTTGATGAACTATACTACTCATCTAGGGAAAATGGCCTATTAGCTCAGGGTCTAATGTTTACAGCTCATGCATATTTATATACAAGATAAAACTACTAACAGCACTGATGACTACATGCTTATGCATTTTAGATGAAGCTAATACAAAATAACCCATGAAAAGTTAGAAATTTTATCTCAAGTAGGCCTTTTAATTCAACGTAGAATTTACCATGGAGTTTGTCAGATGCATCCAATACAGCACTTCTCAAGAATGACAATAAAGTAACCCGATACTAAGAAAACCATATCAATCTACTTTGCAGTTCTCCCACATAAGAAAAAATTAGTGTCTGAATCCTCGATGTTCTCTGCATCCCGGATGACATTCTTGAGGTGTGCTATTAGTTGCTTTTATGTTGAATCAACGATTTCCCTTGTCAACTTTTTCTTAAATGGATATATATTATGCCATATGGGAATAATTCAACAAATTATACCTAGAAAAGCTTACACTGACTCAGAAAGCATTGTTCAACAATACATTCCACTTTAACCTCCACTGAACATACTTTTTAAAGAACATACATGTGTTCTTATCACCAGAACATAAATATATTCCTAAGAATTTTTTTTTTTTTCATGGAGAGGTCTATATGCCTTCACTGGTACCTAAAGAAAAAGCACCCTCCCCTGTCCAGGCAAATGATTACCTAGACATAAACACCAAATGAGACCACCATGGTCCAAATAAATAATGTTGACAGATATCAACTAGCAATTAAGATCATACTATTTTTTTTTTTTTTTAAGTACTGAACATCCACTTTATAAAAAAAAAGGACTGTCGGGTAAGCAATGTACACAGGCAAAACAGCTATTAGGAGACTGCTTTCCTGACAGCAATATTCCTACTGACACAAGAATGAGAATGACGAGTTGTTTACTTTAATCTGATTCTCTATAACACACTCCTTCACAAAATAAACTCCCAAGGTATTTCTCTGTATATTTAGAAATGCTTGATGTGCTGAAATTTCTCATACATAGTGTTTTAGTATCCTCAGAATATAAACACAGCATACTGTGGTCACACACACACACACAAATGCTGAATTTAATACAGAGTGAAGACTATGTCAAGAAAACTTAGGACCTGTGTAAATGAAGATGGGTTTAACTGTCCAGCTACTTTAGGAAAAGCGTATTTAATGGCTGACTGCTTTGTTAAAGGCTTTAAGGTTCACTAACCAGTTTTAAAGTACAGTGGTTAACAACTAGCTCACATCACAATTCCTTCAAATATAAAGCAAATAGTAGTAAAAGGATTTGCCCAATGTGACTAGTGAATACTCTAAAACTATCACTCCCAGGCCTAGGCAGAAGGAAAAAAAATATAACACTCTTTTCAACTCTGCCTTTCCTCTCACTGTGGCCTCTAACAATGTTGAATGATCAGTACTTTCCAAAGCTTTATTATTCATAAATTTCACCTGGCCTAGTCAAGGCTAAATTACGGTAGTCTCTATTATGGCTGAATGACAAAAAGACAGCCCAAATCATGTTTACACAGAATTTTATTCCTAGTAGGTGCTAAATATACCTGTTCAAAGAAATTATAACTTTGTTTTAAATACATCCAACAACCCCTCACCACCACCATCACCACCACTCCCTACTGAGAAAATAATCACATACAAAGATTCTGGGCTGTTTTCGGATCCAAAATTCTCAGCTCTTTCACTTTCTTCTTTGTAGGCAGGGTCTTCTTTTCTTCAAAAGCTTCTGCATTCTTTTGAACTGAAAGAAAAATGTTGATTCATAAATAATAACAGTGCTAATCCAAATACACAGAATCACATTAGTAAGGCATATTAACTACATTAATAAAGCTCATACCCAAATCAATAAATGGGTTTATTTCATTAGTTCAAGGAAGAGGATAAACATAAAAATATAGACCTGTTTAGAGGTTTCCCTAC